TAAAATGTCATTTATTGTGGTGACAAAAAATAAATCTAATAAGAATGTGCAATGGCTGGGTGTGGTGGCTCATGCCTATAATCTTATCACTTTGAAAGGCCAAGGTGGGAAGATTGCTTGAGCCCAGGAGCCTGAGACCAGCCTGGGCAACAAGGCGAGACTCCATCTATATATATATAAAAAAAAAAGAAATTTGGCTGGACAAAGTGGCTCATGCCTTGTAATCCTAGCACTTTGGGAGGTGAAGGTGGGTGGATTGTCTGAGCTCAGAAGTTCAAGACCAGCCTGGGCAACATAGTGAAACACTGTCTCCACTAAAATACAAAAATTTTGCTGGGCATGGTGGCATGCATCTGTAGTCCCAGCTTCTTGGGAGGCTGAGGTGGGAGAATCGCTTAGCCCTGGGAGGTGAAGGTTGCAGTGAGCCGTGATTGTACCACTGCACTCCAGCCTGGGTGACAGAGCGAGACTCTGTGTCCTTCACACACACACACAAAGTTATCCAGTCATGGTGGTGCGTACCTCTAGTCCTAGCTATTTGCGGGGCTGAGGTGGGAAAATCACTTGAGTCTAGGGGTTTGAGGCTGCAGCGAGCTTTCAGCCTGGGCAACAGAGTGAGAACGTTGTCTTAAAAAAAAAAAAAAAAAAAAAAAGAATATGCAAGAACTTTATGGAGATAACCAGAACATTTTACTCAAGAGCATTACAGATTGTTAAATAAATGGAAAGAGATTTTATGTTCATGGATGGAGACCCAGAATAGTAAAAACAAGTAATTCTCACAGAATAACCTATAGGTTTAGTATAATGACAATTAAAATCCTGGATTTTCTCTTCTGATGGTGGTAAACAAGATAATTTGAACCTTTTTCCCAGTTAAAAAGTAAAAAGAAAAAAGTGAACAAAATATTTTCTGAAAACTTCTTCAAAATGCTAACTATATAGAGAAGGGTTATGAGACTAAGATCAGGGAGAGCCCAGAAATTCAGAGCTGTGAGCCCAGCACTGATGGCCATTTTTACCCTGGGAGTGTTTGTCAATCTAGATGTGACTGAGAGGCTGCAGTTTTGGAAGCCCCATGAGGCTAGAGGGACAAAAGTCCGAATCCAGAACCTACCAAGAATAGAGACCCTGATACCACGCCTCCTGACCTACACATTTTTGGCTGGGACCACGAAGTAAAAACACCCCCGTAGTAACTTTCCTTCATGTGGACACAGCTCAGTGTCAAGCCCTGTGGTAGCCCAACATAAAATATTACAAGCCTTGTATGTGTATTAAGGTAACCCTAAGCCTAGGCAACATGGCAAAACCTCGTCTGTATAAAAAATACAAAAAAATAAAATAAAATTAGCTGGGTATGGTAACACATGCCTGTAGTTCCAGCTACTCTGAAGGCTGAGGTGGAAGGATCGTTTGAGCCCAGGAGGTCAAAGCTGCAGTGAGCTGTGATTGTGCCCCTGTCACTAAACAAACAGAAAGTTCTTTGAAGGAAGGTAGCATTTCAGGCTACAAATATTTCTGCAAATATCTTCCTAACAAAGCATTCAGCACACAATCAAAGAAACCAGACATATGAGGAGGCGAGACACAATGAGTGAAAATGAATAGGAAGAAAAGACAGTGGAGACAGCCCCACAGGGACTCTACTTATTTGATTATGAAAGGATTAAGACAGGACACACAAGGCTTCTGAGACACTTGCAATGTGCTGTTGTTTGTCCATGAGGTGATTATATGAGTATTCGGTCCATCTTCTGTGACTGGAAAAATTCAAACTCAAACCATGTTTTCCCTCTGCTCTCACAGTTGCCAAGACCAAAGACTTCTGTGATCAAATGTGTGGAGATTTCTTCCTACCAAAAAGCAAGCAATGGATTCTGCAGAATAGATTCAGTTCTATTCTGACACTACTTACCTGGATATAGCATCAGATCCCACAGGTTGAGGGCTCATCCCCTAAGACTGCCCTCCACCTCCCACCGTCATTTGCCAACTGTAGACTCTGGTTGTTCTACCCATGCTTTTGTCTAACTGATTATAAATTAGGGATCCTTCCTCTTTGGGCTCAGTTTATTTGGTAGAGCAGCTCACAGAACTCAGGAAAACACTTACTTACATTTACCAGTTATAAAGAATATTAGAAAGGATACAGATGAAGAGATGCATAAAGCAAGGCACAAGGGCACAAAGCTTCCATATCTTCTCTGGGCATGCCACCTTCCAGGAACCCTCCATGTGGTTAGCTATCCAGAAGCTCTTCAAACCCTTTTCTTTTGGGTTTTTATGGAGGTTTCATTATGTAGACATGGTCAATTAATCCATTGACCATTGGTGATCAACCCAGCCATCAACCCTTCTAAGACCTTCTCTAAAGGTTGAAGGGTGGGGCTGATAGTCCCAACTCTCTAAATGTGTCTTGGTCTTTCAGGTGATCAGTCCCCTTCCTATGGCTACCTAGGCTGCCAGCCATCAGTCAACTTATTAGCATACAAAAAGACATCAGTTTGGAGAGTCTAAGGATTTTAGGAGTTGTATGTCAGATACAGGATCGAAGACCAAATATATATTTTACAGTGTCATACCATCTGAATCCATTTAACTGTATGCTTATATTTTATGTCCTTTTCTGAACGTGTGTTATATTCAGCAATAGAAAAGGCTTACAAAATTGAAACCAATTCAACATTCCATCAACAGGAGGACTGACCAATGAATTTTGGTAAATTCATACAATTATATATTGTTAAACTGTTGAGTTGGAAGAACCAGAGCTACGTGTATCAGTAAGGATTAGTTTCAAAAATATATTGCAGTGAGTAATTACAAGTTGTGGAAAGATATATACAATATAACATTACAGAAAGTCAAAAAATGCAAAACAATATTATATATTATAATGGAGACATAAAGTGTAAAAACATACATGAAACAATAAGTACCAGATTCAGAATAGTGGCCACTTCAGAGAAGAGAGAAAGGAAGAAAGAAAAGAGAGCACCATATAGGTAGCTTCACCTGTTTCTGTGACATTTAGTATTTAAGAAGGATGAATCAACTTTCAACCAGGGATCAATATCCAGAATATACAAGGAACTCAAACAACTCAACAGTAAAAAAACAAAAAACAGGGCCAGGCGCAGTGGCTCACAGCTGTAATCCCAGCACTTTCGGAGGCCGAGGCAATTGAATCACTTGAGATTGGGAGTTCAAGACCAGCCTGACCAACATGGAGAAACCCCATCTCTACTAAAAATACAAAATTAACTAGGCATGATGGCACATGTCTGTAATCTCAGCTACTCGAGAGGCTGAGGCAGGAGAATTGCTTGAACGCAGGAGGTAGAGGTTGTGGTGAGCTGAGATCGCACCATTGCACTCCAGCCTGGGCAACAAGAGTGAAACCCTGTCTAAAATTTAAAAAAAGCAAATAATCCCACTAAATAAATAATCCCACTAAGTAAATAACCCCACTAAACAGGGGGCAAAGGACCTAAATAGACATTTCTCAAAAGAAGACATACAAATGGCCAACAGGCATATGAAAAAAATGCTCAATATCACTAATCATGAGAGAAATGCAAATCGAAACCACAATGAGATACCATCTTACCCCAGTTAGAATGGCTATTATCAAAAGAACAAAAAATAACAGAGCCTGGCAAGGATATGGAGAAAAGGGAGCTCTTGCGCCCTGTTTGTAGGAATTTAAATTATAAAGCCACTATAGGAAACAGTATGGATATTTCTCAAAAAACTAAAAAGTACCTGTCCTACAATTCAACAGTGCCACTACTTGGTATTTATCCAAATGAAAAGAAATCAGTGTATCAGAATGATACCTGCACTTCATGTTTATTGCAGCACTATTCACAATAGCAAAGATATGGAGTCAACCTAAGTGTCCATCAATGGACAAATGGATAAGGAAATGTGGTATATATACATAATGAACTACTATTCAACCATTAAAAAAAAGCAACAGGGATGGAACTGGAGTTTGTTACATTAAGTGAAATAAACCAGGCACAGAAAGACAAATATCATATGTTCTCACTCATATGTAGATGCTAAAAGAAATTGATTTCATAGAGGTAGAGCATGGAAGAATAGCTACCAGAGGCTGGGAAGGGTGTGTCAGGGGAGGATGAAGAGAGTTTGGTTCATGGATACAAACATACAGTTAGATAGAAGAAATGAGTTCTAATGTTCAATAGCAGAGTAGGGTGACCATAGCTAACAACATTTCAAAATGCTGTACAACATTTCAAAATATTGTACATTTCAAAATGCTGTGAGGACTTGAAATGTTCCCAATGCATAGAAATGGTAGACATTCAAGATGATGAATAGCCTAAATACTCTAACTTGATCACTACATATTCTGTGCATGCAACAGAATATCACATGTGCCCCATAAATATGTATAAATATTATGTATGAATTTAAGAAAGAATGAAAGAAGCTAGGATTCAAAAAAAAAGGATGAATCAAATAAAGCAAAATGATGTGATCTGACAAAGATGGGTGGTAGGTGCATACTCTGTTCCATTCTCTCCGTTTTTCTGGATGCTTGAAATAGTCCATTTCAGAAATAAGTTCCTTCGAGAGGTCACAGAATACTTTAAAGAGTTGTATATGTTTCTTTCTAAATAATTTTGTATTGAAAAAAATACTTTTAGACTGATTTAGTTGCTGCAGTTCTTGGAACCTGTTTCCTGTGAATAAGAACCAAATACTAGGGCATCAATGTTTAAGAGATAACCTATCTTTTTCTTATCCATTAAATTTTTTATCCTCAGTGCTTCTGTAAACTCATTACACACACACAAATGCCTTTTTTTAAGTTCCAATTTTATTTCTTGAGGACACTTCATTATGCGTTTTTAAATACTATTTTTTATTTCTGACCCGTGGATCTTTTGGAAGCTCTTTTGACATAGATCTACTCTAATTGAATTTCTAAAATCATTTACTTCCTTCTGTTTTGTTTTCTTTAGGAACGAGATAAATTCTACTTGTCTCGTAGTGTTGTTCTAGAACTTCTGCAGGCCCTAAAACTCAAATCTCCTTTACCAGATACAAACCTTCTTCTGCTCGTCCAGGTAAGCTTATACCTGATTTGTAAAACTTTTCATGAGATCCATGTATGTTTGGGAAAATTAAGTGAGGTGTAGAGTGTATGCATAAAACTAAACATCTTTGCCCAGAGATGAGAAATAATATATCTTATATGGACCACGACCTAACTAATAGTATGCACCTGACACTTCCACTGGCTAAAAAAGTCCAAGAAGGAGTATTGATTTTGTTCCTACTGTGAAATTAGTTCTAAAGAAGAATAAAACAATAATTTTTGTCCCCAAGAAATGCGTGATCCAGTAGGTTAGAGGGGCAGGTCAGTCACCAGAGCTGAGACAGGCCTGAGACCAGAATTCGGGGAACAGGCTGAGGTCTGACTGCAGAGTCAAATGAGTATAGGTGGTCCCTAAATCTCTGTGAAGCAGAAGTGAAGGATAGGGTAGGCCAGGCCAGAGACAGTCAAATGGCAGGATGCACTGAGTGGTACCCACGGTGGGGGATAAGTACGCTTCAGCCCTCAGGGGACAACTGAGGCCGAGGACCACTATAAGACAGACTTTGGAGAACTGTCAACAATTATTCTTTTGGTTTTAGGGCTTCTGAGGGACTAAAGCCTTCTACTCTACTGTCCTTAACTCAGCATCTTAGGCAGGCATGCAGGTTTTGATGACCTGAAACAGGCTATGATAGTACCATGAGAGAAAGAGGTAAACGAAATCCTAGGGAGAAATTGAAAGCATCATGGATCCCATCCCTTATGATGTGAAATCAGAGAAGACTTCATGAAGGAAGTAGCATTTGAGTTGGGTCACAAAGGACTGGAGGGTACAGACAAATGTCTTTGCCTGGGATTAGGGTTCAGCCTAGAGAGGTTGACTGGCTTCAAGCATAAAGGAGGCTTAGGCAGGATGGTGGACTACATTTAGGGATAATGGCATGAGGATAGGGTTGAGAAAAAGTAGACTGGCTGTGCCAGAGGAATCAGCAGGTGTTCAGGTAACCTGGCACCCTGCCTCTCACCCAAGGGTTGAGGCTAGATTTAGAGACTTGGCCATAAGCTACAGCTGGGATCAGGGTGTCATTCAATGGCCTTTGGGTAAAGTGCCCAGCCATTGCATCACAGCTGTGTCAGCACTCGCTGATGAGCATTAAGACCAGTCCCAGAGTCTGGGCCTGCAAGCTGAGGGTTAAATGATTGAAGGAATATGGGAGCTTGGTATCAAGGAACTAGACAGATTTCCCTGAATTGTGGGTACTCATTTGGAGACATGAGAGATAAGGGAACACTAATGGAGGACCTATTATGTGTTAAGCATTTAATCTTTACAGCCTCATGAAGCATTGGTTCTGTACTGCAGGAGGTGGTTCAGTGGCTTGCCCAAGACCACAGTGCTGGCCTAAGTGACAGGTAGTATCAAGCACCTGATTTCAGTGTGTTAGGACTCACAGCCCAGCTCCCTTCGGTATAACACATAGCCTTGACAGGCCCTTTCCATCCCTTACGGGGATTACTGTAACAGCTCTTAGCTTTTTGCACCTGCTTCATCTCTTTCCACACCAAGCCAATCTTCTGGCCTGTGGCTGCCTAGAGGAATTTTGCTGAAAGTCTACTTTTCTGATGCAGATCACTCTTGCATCAGAAACCTAGAGTGACCTCGTAAGGTCTGAACTATCCAGGTCTTCCATCATCTGGCCACATCTGACTCTTCAGCAGTATTTCCCACTACAAATATTTACTGACCACCTATCTCGGGCTGGGTTCTGGGAATATAGAGATGTGACATGCATATCCTGATAATGTGCTAACTACTCTCATGAAAATCTACACGGTGTATGAAACACTATGGAAGAGGGAGTGGCTAACTGAACCTAGGACACGGAGGAAGGCTTATGAAGCATTATGAGGCCTGACATGGGCCAGGTGCTCTGCAGGGTGCTGAGGAAACAGAAGAATCAGCCATGACATCTTCCTTCCAGGAGTTTACAATTTAGCAATTGAAGTTGACATGTAAATTAAAAAAACAATTCCCACATAGTACAACAGGTGCAGTAGTAGAGATGTGTACTGAGTAAGGAAGTGTTGTTTGTAGAAGACAGTTCACATGGACCTTGAAGGATGCACAGAAGTTCAGGAGTTGACCTGGTAGAGAAGATGAGGAACAACCCTTGTCATTTACTGTTGAATAACCACTGCCTGGTCTCCATACTCCCCCTCCAGAGACTACAAATCATTAGGATCAGAACTGAATTTTTTTCAAAGGCTTGAGATTTATTTAAAAAGTTGGTGTACTTTCAATGAATGGTCTTGAGTTGTCTTTGAAGGGCTTTCTAGGACACATTGAACCTTCAGCGAGTCAGTGATTGCTGGAAAATGACAGCAATGGATGCGGGGCATGATGTCATCAGAATGAAATGGCTCTTATTATACCAAGGTGCTGGACAGCCCAGGAAGAAGACAAGCAAAGTCACAGCCAGAAAATATCTGTGCTCCTAAGGAGAGACGAACTTTGCATTTCTCTCTGTGGATTGCATTGGCCAGGCCCTTCTGCTCACATAGCAGCAGCAACATTGCCTTTGAGAATAAGCAGTGTTCACACAGATTTTTTATTTATTGAATTTTAATTAAGTTATTTATTTTTGAGATAAGGTGTTGCTCTGTTACCAGGTTGGAATGCAGTGGCACGGTCTTAGCTCACTGCAACCTCTGTCTCTCTGGCTCAAGTGATCCTCCCACCTCAGCCTCCCAAGTAGCTGGGACTACAGTTGTGGGCCACCACGACTGACCAATTTTTTAGATATTTTTAGTAGAGATGGGGGTTGACCATGTTGCTCAGACTGGTCTTGAACTGCTGGACTCAAGCTATATCCACTCATCTTGGTCTCTCAAGGTGCTGGGATTACAGGTGTGAACCACTGCTCTCGGCCCAAAGAGATCTTTTTGAAGATTCATGGGATCTACACTGACTTGGAGGAGAGGGCAGGTGAACAGGGCTTAGGGAAATATCCCGGGAGGGATTAAGGTTAGCAGCCTGACTGTGTGTGGAGGTCACTTGCTTCTAAGAGTGTTGCAGTTGGGGATGTGCCACCTGAAAACCACTTCAGGGCATTGAAGGTGCTTTCCTGCAGATGGTGAACAGCATTCCCTTAATTGCCCTTTGTCTTGAGCAGAGCAGATCTGTGTGGCTGATCTTCTTGGGGTCTAGTACTCCATACTGTAACTGCTGGAGATTGGTTTGCAATGAAATACATTAGTCAACTGTAATAAGCACTTGTCACAAGATGCCAAAAGAACACTGACAGTTTAAATTACCCAGTGCTTGAGGAAACCACAAAAACAGTGGTTATTGCATCACAGTTAGGTGAATAAATAACAAAAACAAATTAAGAAGAAAGACAGCAAAAAGATACTTCCGAATGTGTTTTATGGGTTTTCATCTGCCATTTCATCTTTTTAAAACAAATGTGTGCCTTGTCATTGAAATCATTAAGTTAAAAAATGTCAAGTTGTAAAATTATTTAGATTGAAGGGGTATTTTGGAGACATTTTCAGATCGCGCCCAGGAAAAACAACTTTATGGAAATGTTTCAGTCTTCTCCAACAAAATATGTTGAGCATAGTTTGTTCCTGGGTTTCAGCACCAAGGGAAAAATAAATTTAAGCCATTTCAAAGTAACAAATCCTTGTTCCATAAACTCTTAAGCAATTTTTATTTCTAACCAGAGAAATAAAAGTGAGGCATGTCCATAAAAAAGGATGAGTTTGTGTCCTTTGTAGGGACATGGATGCAGCTGGAAACCATCATTCTCAGCAAACTATCGCAAGAACAGAAAACCAAACACCGCATGTTCTCACTCATAGGTGGGAACTGAACAATGAGATCACTTGGACTCGGGAAGGGGAACATCACACACCGGGGCCTATCACGGGGAGGGGGGAAGGAGGAGGGATTGCATTGGGAGTTACACCTGATGTAAATGACGAGTTGATGGGTGCTGACGAGTTGATGGGTGCAGCACGCCAACATGGCACAAGTATACATATGTAACAAACCTGCACGTTATCCACATGTACCCTAAAACTTAAAGTATAATAAAAAATTAAAAAAAAAAAAAAAGTGAGGCATGCCTTAAAACAGAGTAGTTCCCTTTTCTGCCCTGTGGTCCTGCCTAAGTCATGGAGAGAAGTCTTCTATGGGGCCGCACATGGTATATTAGTCTGTTCTCATGCTGCTAATAAAGACATACCTGAGACTGGGTAATTTATAAAAGAAAGAGATTTAATTGACTCACAGTTCCACATGGCTGAGGAGGCCTCACAATCAATGGCGAAGGTGAATGAGGAGCAAAGTCATGTCTTACATGGCAGCAGGCAAAAGGAGCTTGTGCAGGGGGAACTCCCATTTATAAAACCATCAGATCTTGTGAGACTTATTCACTACCATGAGAACAGTATGGGGGAGACCACCCTCACCATTCAATTATCTCCACCTGGCCCCTTGACACATGGGGGGATTATTACAATTCAAGGTGAGATTTGGGTGGGGACACAGCCAAACCATATCAGATGGGATGAGGAGAAACGTTGTTTCTCTTATGCGTAGTTCCTTTTTTTTTTTTTGAAATGGAGTCTTTCATTCAAAAAATGGGCTCTTTCATTCAAAAAATGGGCTTTGTCACCCAGGTTGGAGTGCAATGGCGCAGTCTTGGCTCACTGCAACCTCCACCTCCTGGATTCAAGCGATTCTCCTGCCTCAGCCTCCTGAGTAGCTGGGATTACAGGCATGCACCACCATGCCCAGCTAATTTTTGTATTTTTAGTAGAGATGGGGTTTCACCATATTCGTCAGGCTGGTCTCGATCTTCTGACCTCCTGATCCACCCACTTTGGCCTTCCAAAGTGCTGGGATTACAGGTGTGAGCCACTGCACCTGGCCTAGTGCCTCTTTCTGTAGGGTTTCTCAATTGCTTTTTTCTTGCCCGTGACTGCCTGGGTCCTCCAGGTGTTCTCTGTAGAATGGTGGAAATGACAGCCTGCTCTCTGGAAGCTTCTTTTAGGCCAGAGATCTAGGCTGGAGTCAGAGGAACCTTTCCCCTTTACCTATGGGCATCATCAGCTCCTGGCACTTGGACAACCAAGCTTATATCAGGGACAGATGATCTGCCAGGAGCAGACAGTGACTTTCTTTATGGATATCAGTGACCATCATCTGAAGGCCACCCAGTGAGGGTGGATATAGTTAACTGAAAATGCAATTTGCAAACATAAAAAAAATCAGTAACTGATTTTTTTACTGGAGAAGGAAAAACTCCCTAGGTGATCCATCACAAATGACACCAGTCCCCATGCGGAAAACAGAGTCTGTTGCTCCAGTGTTGCGTTTCCCATTCATTCTTTCACCCCATAGGGAACTGCTGGTATTTCCTCTACTACCTTTCTGATGAATAACAGTAGGTAGATGAGCTCACTAAGATGGAACCATTTCTATTCTTCTCATAGATAGACCATACCTTTGTGTTACCAAATACTCTGGCAGTAAGAAAGACCCCTTAAAGAACAAATAGAATGCTCGTCCAAGAAATGTGGAATCATCCAAGTTTTAAACCTGTCAAGACAGCAACTGCTACCAATCTGCTTTTTAATTCCTAGAAGTTCTCCCGGGAGGCCTGGCGTCATGGGGAATTCCCCAGCCTGCTCTATGGTGGTCGTCTAGCCATGACTACTGATGTTTACATATAAAGTTTTTTTACATATGAAGTTTACATATGTAAAGTTTATGTGTGAATTTACATATGAAGTTGGGTGGCCTTAAATGTTCAAGTGGATTTTTTCTTTTTAAAGAAAGAGAGGCGTGGAGATAGGAAAGAATTTGCTGAATAGAAAAATGTCATTTCAGAGTCCAAATTGTTGATCCCCAGGGCATAGTTCTCCTTTTGCATTTTGGACAGATACACTAGCACATTATTTTAATTCAGATCTATTGACATTTTTGCTTTTTGTTTCCAATATTTTCTCTCTTGCTGGTTTGCTGTGGATATTTTTTGTGTAATAGGTTATAATTGTTCTCAAGATAGAGTTTTCATAATAAGTGATAACTCATTAATAGCCACCATAAAGACTGTTTAAGTTCAAATCAAAAGGAATTTCCTTAGCTCCTATTATGTGTCAAGAGTAGATATTCAGCCGGGCGCAGAGGCTCACGCCTGTAATCTCATCACTTTGGGAGGCCAAGGCGGGTGGATCACGAAGTCAAGAGATGGAGACCATGCTGGCTAACATGGTGAAACCCCGTCTCTACTAAAAGTACAAAAATTAGCTGGGTGTGGTGACATCTGCCCGTAGTTCCAGCTACTTGTGAGGCTGAGGCAGGAGAATTGCTTGAATCCAGGATACGGAGGTTACAGTGAGCCGAGATCGCGCAACTGCACTCCAGCCTGGCGACAGAGCGAGATCCCATCTTAAAAAAAAAAAAAAAAAGAGAGAGAGAGAGAGTAGATATTCTGCTAATTTGCGCGTACCACTCCCACTCTGTGGGATATACCTGCATATTGAAGTTATGAGAAATCGTATTGTGAAGAAAGGTTTTCTTTTAAAGATAGGTTCGTTGTGGGCTGGAGGACAGAGAACTGGTGGAGGAACAGCTGTTGTTTTAAATTCACAGAGTTACCATTGAATGGGGTTATTAATATTAGTTGAGTTAGTAACAGTCTGATCACTCTATGAGATGAGAGGTGAAGACACTGTTTTGGGTATCATTTTGATAATGAATTTAGTAATGACACATAACAGATACCGTGTTTCTGTTGTATTCATGGGGGAATGCATATTTCAGTGCCCAATTTCCCTCAAAGTACAGAACTCTTCCTTCAACAGCAGTCGTCATTTCCTTCTCTGATTTTTGTAATAGCATTGTATTTTGAGCAGCTCTATAAAATCATAATAGATTTCTTTTTTCAGTTTATGGTTGGCAGCCATATAAAACAAAGACAGAAAGGTTTAGTAAGGTTTTAGTTGTGCATCTGATGTAAAAATATGCTGGATTACAATGCATGGATAAAAAATAATAGATGATTTCTGAGGCTTATGCACTTTTATTTCCTTTGATATGCCAGATTCTCTGTGCACCTCCTTTACTTTTAGGGTGATTTTTGATTAATTCTGACTAGTAAGCGTTCTCATAAATGGGACAGTTGGATCCAACCTCAGATCTTGATGCTGTGTGATTGCTAACCATGCTGAAATGTGCTTCCATCATGCTCTGCGTTGCACTTTACTGAGGATCATGGGTGGGAAAGTCATCCACTGAAGGGAGATACAGACATTTAAAATTTTGCTTCTCCACAAACCTTATCTTCACCTCGAGGGCCCATCCAGGCCATGCAAACATACTCGAGTGGGGTCCAGGACTTTAAACCACCCTTAAAGAGACAGCTCTAAGTGCGCCCCTTACCTCACACAGTAGATATGGCTCTGTCTCCCCTGTGGCCTTTCTTAGCTATGCAGTATCATTTCTGTTGTAAAGAACTTAATTAAAATTAATACTGATGTCCTCACAGAGGTTTTGGAACGCAATTATAAGTTGTTTGTCTTAGACTGAAGACTTAGATAGCTATTTATTTATTTATTTGAAGCAGAGTCTCGCTCTGCTGCCCAGGCTGGAGTGCAGTGGTGCCATCTCGGCTCACTGCAACCTCTGCCTCCCAGGTTCAAGTGATTCTTCTGCCTCAGCCTCCTGAGTAGCTGGGTTACAGGCATGTGCCACCACACCCGGCTAATTTCTGCCTCAGCCTCCCAAAGTGCTGAGTTTACAAGCGTGAGCCACCACACCTGGCCTAGATAGCTTTTTAAAATGAATTTTGTGGGAAAACATGCAATCTCTACCAGGAGGCTGCATTGGGAGTGTTCCTTCTGTTCACTGTGTATGTCTATCAAATATCAAATATTTCAGGTTTTTTTTTTTTTTTTTTTTTTTTACTTATAGATTTTGACTGGAGTTAAAGGCTTCTCATTTTCTAAAACCTGGTTTATTTACTTTTCCTTACATTAGAAATAAGCTTAAGTTACATAAGCAGACATAGCAAACCTGAATAAGATAATAGAAAATGCTAGGTGTTCCCAGGATGTTACCAGTTGCCACTTTCTATGCCAGATTCAGAGTTAATGGCTAAATAGATTCTTCAGTTTTCTGTAACTGTACTTGAGGCAAATGGAAATGACAGAATGTTAATGTGGAGATCTGTGTCCACTCCTGTCACACAGCTCTCGGGGACAGCTCTGCTTATGCCCTCTTGCCCCCACTCAGTTACATACACTTACATGCTTTCCATGGAGGACACCCCTCCCACACTTGAAGACCAGCTCTTGGCCCTGAGGCTGAAGTCTAAGGGTTCCTTGGCCTCAGGAGGCCTTTGGCTTAGAGGTGTACCCAGTTAGCCAAAACCTGCTACCTGTTAATAATGCTTAGATTTAAACCCCTGACTAGCCCGATAATATGCTAGTTTCTGTTCCTTTGCTCCATGGTTCCTCATCAGGCCTCCTAGAGATTTACTCTGCGACCCTAGTTCCTATTACTTCTCCCCAGTGTGACAGGGACCGAGCCTGCTGACCCATTCAGCTTCCCCTTGCCTTCCAGTATGAGAACAGAATGAATGAGAAGGTGGAGCAATTGGTGCTGAAACTTCTGAACTCTGCACAGCAGCAGTTTCAGATCCCAAAGTTGTTAAGGCTACTGGCCAGAGGCCAGGAAATATAAATTAAACAGGAGCTAATTGCTTATAGCAAACTCTACTTCATGGTTAACTTTTTTTCCTAAGACTATTAATAAATAGTGGAGTGCCTGCATTAAGTGAGAAACACCTGTCAAAATCTGTAATGAAGCAAATTAAATTGTAATCTGGCAAATGCATTCTTGTAATGCTCTCAAGTCATAACTGACTAATGGATTTGCTTCGTAAACTCTCACTGAGCCCCTCTGAGGTGTGCGGCACCAAGCTAGTGCTGGGGATGAGGTGCATCAAGCCTGTCCTCTTGAAGAGCTCATAGCAGGTTGAGAAATAGACTCACAAGTCACTGCAGTCTGATGTGGTGACTGGTACAATGGAAGTGTGTGAAAAGTCCTCTGGGCACCCAGGGAAGGAGTAGGGGTCTTTATCAGCGCAGAGGATACATGTGGATGAATAGGGGCAGGAAGATGAGATGCTGAAGGTCCTCTGTGGGGAAGAAACAGATAGAATACTCACTCTGAGGTTGATTGTTTTTCTGGTTTCTTTCTAAATATATGATACGATAATAGAAATCATGAAACTGTATGAAATGTGCTTACAGTAACTGTCAAGAAGTACTAAATAAATAGAATGACTTCTCAATAAATCTGACAATGCTGACATCTTTTATTTTTTCCTTGATTGAATGCACCATTTCAGTGCCACTTAACAGTCTGGGTAAAGTAAGACTCTGTGTATTAATTTTAGTACTGTGATTCTGAGTTTCTGGTAGGAATGAACCATCATGATTAGCAAATCTGATCTATCCAAGGCAGATTGTCATGAAAATAACACGAATTAATTTAAACCAAGTTAATAAAATGATAAATGACTTATTACTGTCCAGATACCCTTAAAAATAATTGTCCTTTCACTTTTTTATTAGTTTATTTGTGCAGATGCTGGAACCAAACTAGCTGAGTCAACAATCCTGAGCAAGCAGATGATAGCCTCTGTACCTGGAGTAAGTCCTGTCCAAATTCATTGTCTACATACTTATATTTCATAGAATCGCAGTTAAGAATGTAAGCTTTAGACTTACGTCAGGGTTTGAGGCCTGCCATTTACTAGCTATGTGACTTTTGGAAAGCATTTTAACCTATAATTCTTTGATTCGTATCATCTGCCAAGTGGGATATAACAGGGTTTAACATATAGGTTGAGGATTGAATGAGATAATGCATGCAAAGCATATTAGCAAGGAGTCAGACATAGTAAATGCTGTGAAAATGTTATCTATTAAAAATAATATTAACAAACATTGCCTATTTTTGGATATTTTAGTTATTTCTATATTTTTCTATTGTAATTAATATGCAAAGAACATCTTTGTGCCTAAATCTTTGTCCATACTTCAGACCATTTCTTTATAATAGATTTCTGGGAGTAGAATGACTAAACTATGTTTTTTTTTTAAGGGTTCTGTGGTGTAATACAAGGTCCTATGCGACAAAAATCCCAATTCTCAATGACTTACGAAAGTTTAGTGTTTGCTCGTGTGAAGTTTAGTAGGGAAAGGGGGATTTCTACCTGCATGCTCAGGGATCAGGTTTCTTCCATTATGTGCAGTCCACTGCAATCAGCTTGATTGTGGTTGGGGAAAGGGAAGAGAATATGGCCCATGGGGTTTTCACAGGCCAAGTCTAAAAGTGTGTGGGTTTTTTTCCTACTCACATTCCATTGGCTAGAACTCAGGCACATAACCACACCCAACTGCAAGGGATGATGGGAAATGTGGTCTAGTTGTGGGCCGAGGAAGAAGACAGGCCTGGGGAGTGGCTAGCCAGTCTCTGCTGCATGCTCGCTGTTTCCTTCATTGTTTAATTCTTTAAAACTCATTATTTGCTACCTATGCCATAGCTAAAAAAAAAAAGTCCCTAATAATAAAAGTGTTATTGAAATCAGTAATTAAAAGATGAACATTCCAACAATAGAAAAGCAACATATAGGCCCCTTTCTGATGACCAATAAGCCATTAAAAATAAACCTTTTACTCTGACTAGCAATCAATGAATTGTAAGTTAATATGAAGTATAAAAATATTTAAAAATATAAAAAATAAAATTGGCTAGCCAATCAGCAGATTTTCTCTTTAAAAAAAAAAAAACCACTTCATCAGGGCATGAAAGACACATAGGAAGCTGCACATCTTTAATGTATGTGACTTGATGAGTTGGGAAATGATTATACATTCATGAAACCACCACTGTGATCTATGCCGTAAACATATCCATCACCTCCAACAGTTTCTTCCTGCCCTATTTGTTTGTTTGTTTGCTTTTGTTTGTTTGTCATTAGCAATAAGAGCACTTTACATCAGATCTACCCTCTTAGGAAATTTCTAAGTGTGTAATACAGTATTTCTAACTCTAGGGACTCCACTGCCCAGTAAATCTCTAGGACTTACTCACCTTGCATAATTGAAGCCTTGGACCTTTTGACTAATACCTTCCCCATTTTTCCCTCCCCAGCAGATCCTCCTCAATGATTAGACTTATTGAGGGTAAAATGAAACAAGCATTCTTCTAAGTTACTATTGGTAGTAAAACCAACCTTGCTGGAGGGCAGTTTGACAATCTTCTTTTAGGAATATGTCTGAGAAAATAAATATGCACATGTTTTATATCAAGTATGTTTATTAAAGCATCACTTAAAATAGCAGAAATATGGAAACAAAGCAAATGTCTAACATCATCAGGGTATTGTTTAAATAAAATAAGGTGCATCCATAAGATAGACGATTATCTGCCTACCAAATCAAAGTTTCAAATAATATTTAATTAATTGGAAAATGCTTATGATGTATCTAATTAAAAAGCAAGTTAGAAAAATGTTATCTCAATCTTATAAACATTATATGTATGTGTGTATGTTATATACGTTAAAAAACTTTAAAAAACTTGGAAGGAAATATTAACAGTAGTTTTCCCAGAGGTGGAGGACAGGAATTAGGATTACGGTGATTTCAATTTTAATTTTAATGATCTATGTTTTCCAAATTTCCTGTATTAAACATGTGTTGCTTTTATAATCTAAGAAATATAACTTTAAAATCAAATATTAGTTTTGAGGAAGAATTAGCTATGATTTGCTTCAATTCATGAGTTTGAGTTTTGAATATTTTCAACTTTTTAATCATTAGTTTTCCTATGGAATAAATATAGATCTTCTGAAACAAATGGAGCTTGACTTATTTTGTTTTGTTTCTTAAATAACACACCTAAGGTTATTCTTAAGCTTTGCAAAGTAGAGAAAAGGGAGGAGGGCTTGGAAATTATATGTTTTGTTTCATAAGTATATATGGCTCACTAAGAGTCTCCTGACCATGCAGTGAATTTTAAGGCTTTTATTAGATGCAGTTGGCTGTCTCTAGAACAAAAGTGACTTAGTGTTAGTAAATTCTTTGCTCTCATTTTTTGAGATTCAAACTTAAAAGACAAATACTGAATAATGCTCCTAGTAATTATTTTCGGTGACATTTGCCTAGTTGCAATGGTATAAAATATTGCCTATGAAAGAAACAAATCCCTTTCAAGAAATTCAAGAACAGAGTCTCCAGTCCTATTTGCATGACGTGTGAAAGGTCAGAGAAAATGGAATAAATCAGGGGGAAATCCTTTCTTGCACGAAAGGATTAATATTCCAAAAGCAGGAACACAATAACCTTTTATAATTCCTTCACTTGATTTAAATTAAAAGAAGAAAACTTTGGAACGTATGAAATGCTTGGAAAACACTCTGACAGACTGCCAATGACCTTATTTTGCTGTCTGTTATCCTGTCAGAAGAACTGACAAGCGTAACATTCTAGAAGAGAGAGAAGGTGATATAGTTCAGTACCGTGCAGATTTACATGAATATGGGAAAATGAGAGCCACTGGGTGAGCTAGTTAAGTCTATAATGTTCCAGATTTTCCTAAAGAAAGCTGAGGAAGGCCTTTAGCATAGTATTCATCTGGCTTCAAAGCCTGCCTCGTTTGATCCACATGATACCCGGCCTGATGTGTGACTTCTCTCATACGGCTCTGATATAGCAGCCTGCTTGTTCATTTTCCTTTGCTTTGCTTATAATCCTAAATTCACTGCATTCTCAGGGAGAGCAGGCCGATGCCATTTAACGACCTAAAACACAAACTTGCTTTCTTTTCCTTCCAAACTTTTCAAACACACTTCGAGCATGTGGGGAAGATGACCATTTTGTTTCTTTCCTTTATTTATCCCCTAGCAAGAACTTGACAGTAATACATGCATCTATTTAATAGTGTACCTGTTGTGTGTAAAAAGTTAATTTGCAAGTGACTTGACTAGTATGAGAATTTTTGACTCTTTCAGCAAACACGATGCTTGTTTGTATACTTTTCTGACAGAAAATAGATTCAAGATTCTGGTGGTAGAACTTGGTGGCATGTATTTTATGTGTAGCTAAGACTTCCCTAGAATGAGAATGTGTTGCTTTGTTTTGGAATGAATGATGTCCTAAAGACTCTGATACTAATGGCATGACATAGGCTGAATTTTTGCATACAAAGCAGTTTAAAAATAAGCACACACACAGAAAATCAGTCCAATAACCCAGTGGATAAAAGCATTTAGCCCCATCTCTCATAGGCCTCTCCTGTTTCTTTGTTCTCCGCCACAAACCTTCTATCAATTTTTGTCCAAATGCTGAGCAGTCAGAGACTATGCTGAGAGTAATGGAGTGAGTCAGAAATCCAGAAAGTGAAACAACTCCTTAGTAAACAACGTGAAACCAGAGTAAGGCAATCATTGCAGTCAGGGCAAAAATAAAGCTGTGACCCAGCTGTGTCCTTGTGTTTCAGTGTGGGACTGCAGCGATGGAGTGTGTGAGGCAGTACATCAATGAAGTGCTGGATTTCATGGCAGACATGCACACGCTGACCAAACTGAAGGTGAGATGACCACCACCTGCTCATCCTTCAGGTTCACAAAACAGAGATGCTTTGAGAGAATTAAGTAGACCATAGGGAACTTATTGCTACCTGGGGAGGCAGCTGTGGCACTGTTGAATAGCCCCTGCCTTGGGGGATCAAAGAGCCAGGGTCCAGCTTTGCAAAGAGGAAAAGAGGAAGGGAAAGGACATTCCCATGGCATCAGCCACATGCATAGCTTTCCTTTTGCCATATACTCACTTCTCACAATACCTCTGTTAAGATTCTATCCCCATTTTACAAATTGAGAAACTGAGGCTTGGGATGGCGTAGTACTTGCTCAAGTAACACTACTAAGTGGTAAAGTCAAGGTTGAACCCAAGATTCTTGTGACCCTCAATTCATTCTCTTTTTACCACATAGCATCGTTTAATTACCTTGAGCATCAGTTTCCTCTTTTGAAGAACAAATCCAATAATCCCTACCTTGCCTGACTGTTACGAGGGTTTAATCAAATATAATGTACGTGAAGAGACTTTCATAAACTGTAGCACATTATGCAAACATATACCATGTATTATTTTTTGCTGCATCGAAGCTATTTTCTTAAAGAAAATCCTTGATGAAAGGGGATAATACAAAATTTAATTTGCATATGGACACAATACCAGTGAAGTTGTTGAGATGATTGAGTTTTTGCAGGGTGGAATGAATTGCTGATGCAGGTCCACTTTCCTGCTATGATTCAACTAGGAAGCTAAAAGATGAATAGTTTGAGAGATCTGAGCAAGGCCCTAGACAGAGTGCAGAAGAGAATCCAAACATGGTCCAAGGAGCAGCCAAATTGCAATCTGGCGTTAGATGATTCCTTTTTGATAATTGGGAGCTAGTAATCCCAGAAGTTCATCAGCAAAAATACAGTCCCTTAATCACTGACCTGTTCCCTGGCTCTGCTCAGATGATCAAAATGGTTTTTGATATAGTAATAGATTTGCAAATCCCAGGCAGAAAGTAGAATCAAAATGTAAACTGAGCGTATCTCACGATATGTAAACCCAGTCATTTCTTAATGAGCTCCCCTATCGTTCGCTCCTGTGCTGGTTACTGCTTGCTGAATCTGATTGCCCACACTTAAATGACTTTGATGTACAAAGAAGAGGAAACAACTGTTACCTAAACGTGTTTAGGTTGTTTTGCAGATGCTTTCAAAAAATAATAAGTAGGAACCAGGGTCATCAAAAGGTTGGGAATACAGTCATAATCTAACCCTCTGATTTTACCCATTGGGAAACAGATCAGAAGGATCAAGTGGCAAGTGGATTATCTAAGGCCATGGGACTAGCTAGGACAGACCTGGGTCTAGAACCTAGGTCTCAACACTTAGTTCAGTGCTCTTCCCACTGAGCTCACACTGAGCAAAGAAATTTTTCTGAATTAATTCAACAAATATGTATGAGCACCTATAATATCATGGCACTGTTCTAGGCACTGGGGATGCTGTGATGAGCAAAAGCGGACACAACAGCTGCTCTCATTTAATTTATAGTCTGGTAGAGGAGGCCAAATTTAATGAACATTTCACACAAACTACAGTAAAAATGTATCTCTCACAACTGCTATGAAAAAGAGGTAGAAAGCAGCACGGACCTGACCAGGGAGCTCAGGGAACGCTTCCCGGAGGAAGTGACACTTGAGCTAAAATCTGAACAATTAGGTGAAGAGAGGTGGGAATGGCATTCCAGACAAAGGGAATAGCAGCGCGAGGGAACACTGAGAGCCAACACAGCTGGAGCTGCAGGCTGAAGGGGTAAGCTCAGTAGCTGGATCTTTCTGGCTTTGTAGGCCACGCTAGGGAACTTTCCCTTCTTTTATCCTAAGAACAATGGGAAGGCTCTGAAGAAGTTTAAGCAGGTTATGTGCTCAGAGTGGCCATAAGAGGGGTGGAAATGATAACCTGATCTTTTCAAAGAATGGCCTGGAATGCATCCAGGTGTCTGCCAGAGTTACAAAATACCGCTTGGTTTTGTAGAGCCACATGAAGACATGTTCCCAGCCTCTGCATGAAGATACCTTTGGGGGACATCTCAAAGTGGGGCTGGCCCAGATTGCAGCCATGGACATCTCACGGGGCAACCACAGAGATAACAAAGCTGTGATCCGCTACCTGCCTTGGCTTTATCATCCCCCCTCTGCAATGCAGCAAGGGTAAGACCCTTACTATTCCGGGAATGAGGGTAAAGAAGGCAGGAAACACCCCTGAGTTTCCTTGGGCTCAGCTAGAGTTAATGAGTACACTGAAGATTATGACAGTGGAATGTACTTGGTTAGGAAGATGGAAATTGGATCCCATCTCCATACATACTTGCTGACCGAGAATGCTCTGTGACATGCTGCCAAAAACCAAACCTGTCCTCCCACAAAACCCTCAATTGTCCTAATGAAGAATGAAAATTTTGAGCTTAGAATTACCACTTTAACGCTTGATTTCAACTAGTTAAGTAAATTAATAAGTATGTATCAATATATTTGCCTTCAAGCAGCTTAGATTGTAGCTGGAACAAAAGCTATAGCAGGGATGAAATTGGTGCAAGGTTAGGTTGTACAAGCCCCTGACCCTGCCTTTCAGGGAGGCTAAAGAAGAGAGAGGCATGTACGGGTTTGTTGACTTGGGAACTCAGGGTAGGTTTGAGCCCGCCCTTTTGCGTGGTCAGCCTTCTGTCCAGAGGAAAAGTGTAGAGTGGGAATAAGAAGGGTGGGAGGAGAAGATCACGGGGGAGCAGGAAAATGGGCAGCTGTGTTGTATCTCCTCATCCCCTTCCTCCCCTCTATGGGGGATGCCAGAGAAGAAATTTCTTTTTTTTTTTTTTTTGAGACAGAATCTTGCTCTGTTGCCCAGGCTGGAGTGTAGTGGCGCGATCTCAGCTAACCGCAACCTCTGCTTGCGGGTTTAAGCAATCCTCCTGCCTCAGCCCCCTAGTAGCTGTAATTACAGGCACGCACCACCATGCCTGGTTAATTTTTGTGTTTTTAGTAGAGACGGGGTTTTGCCATTTTGGCCAGGCTGGTCTCAAACTCCTGACCTTTGGTGATCCACCCGCCTCGGCCTCTCAAAGTGCTGGGATTATAGGCATGAGCCACCGCGTCCGGCCCACCACAGAATAAATTTCTAAAGCAGGAGTGGAAAGAGTTTAGAAAGGGAAGCTAGTCAGAGAGGCAGCCAGCCTTGTGGAAGAATGCTGTGTAATCCTGTGTCACCAAAGGCTGTTCTTTTCTCAAGAAGCTGAGATCCAGGATTAGAATGGAAAACAAGAAAAACAGATACATCATTTTGTTGACACTCAGTTGCCTTGGCATTTTGTTTTATGTGATTGCCTGCAAGACCACACTTTCTATCCCTTCCTTCAATAAGCATTTGTTATGCACCCAATGAAACAGAAAACATAAAATCATCTTTAACACTCCTTCTTCTCTAACAGACCTAAAGAATTCATCGAGTGTGTCTCCCACATCCGACTGTTGTCCTGGCTTCTGCTGGGTTCCCTCACTCACAATGCAGTGTGCCCAAATGCCTCCTCTCCCTGCCTGCCCATTCCTCTGGATGCAGGCTCCCACATTGCAGACCATCTTATTGTTATCCTGATTGGATTTCCAGAGCAATCAAAGGTAAGTGATTTCTGCAAGATTAAGACCGTATGCATCGCAATTGCTAATGGAAACCTTATCAGCCAATTATGTTTCTTCTGAGAAGAAAATGCATCTTATCACTTGCCCTCCTGTGGATGTTAGAAACACAACTTTGTGCTAATGTCTTATTTAAAGTTGTTTAGATTTCCAGACTGTCTCTCCCCCTGCCCCCAAATTGTTTTTAGACTTACTTTTATGAAGATAAATCATGGAGGCAAGCAAGAGTTGGCTTCCCAGGCATTTCTGTCTCAAAATAATGAAGAGAAATAAAAGGCTAGAAATATAATCAAAATTCTGTGATCAGCTTTTAAAACCAGAGACAAAATGGAGGAAGATTTATTCTCCATCTAATTCTTCATGTACTGTCTTTTCAACTGAAATCTCTAGAGATACAGGAAAATACAAAATGAAAACAAGAAGGCCAGTTGGAAACTCACCAAAGCACACATTGGCATGACTATGCAGGGGAACTTTGTAAATTGCAGAGACAGATGATGTGCTAAAGGGAAGAAAGTAAACCCAAGGCAGGCACCAGTCATGAACCTGTCCAGGCAAACCAGACACATTGGTACTAACGAGCTCCGAGGAGCCAGGGGACCTTCACAGAGCTTTGGCAAGTTCTGGGAGGTCACAGTGGCCTTGGGGACAGCTCGGGTTTGGGACAGGGCAAGCTGATGATGTGATAAAATGGCACACCCATCCCAATGATCCAAATGATGTTCACAAAAGGAATTAGGCAGTCGATTCCTAATATTTCAACTGAGATCTGGGTTTGGTTCCTAATTATGGTACTTGTGATTTTATGAGCTTGACAAGTATCTAACCTCTCTGATACTCAGATTTTCACCTGTGAAATAGACGAGGGGATGGTTGGAGAGCGATGGAGGTGATCTAGGAAAAGTCTTTGGCGCAGTCTCTGGCGTGTTGTAGGTGCTCTCTCGGCACGTGCTTTCCGCTAAGAGGAGGAACTCTGCTGCTGCTGCTATGATTAAGAACTTCTGGGCAGGGTGTTCACGTATATCACCTGCTTTACTCCCATGCTTTGAAGAGGCTACTATTATTCCCATTTTACAGATGAGGAAACATCCTAACATGGCAGAATGATTGTTCTCCCTAATCTAGTTTTGGGATGGGAATGTTAGTTTCGTTAAAGGGCAAGGGGGTGGGTAGATTTCTTCAGCAAATTAAGGTGCCTTCTCTTCAAAAATGTGCTTTGTTCTCTGAGCACACTCCCACTGGTGGAGAAGAGAGCAGAGCAGATTGTTTTAAGGTGATGAATCACGACTTTGTAACGCTGAGATGATGCCTTTGTGCTTTGTGCTCCCTGGCAAGACCAAAGCCACGCGGGGAGGGCTCCATGGAGGGTCACAGCCTGCTGAGATGCAATGCACCAATGCCATCTTCTTCCTTTTCAGACCTCCGTGCTGCACATGTGCTCCCTCTTCCACGCGTTCATCTTTGCTCAGCTCTGGACAGTGTATTGCGAGCAAAGTGCCGTCGCTACAAATCTCCAAAATCAGAATGAATTCAGCTTCACGGCGATACTGACAGCACTAGAATTTTGGAGTAGGGTGACACCCAGCATCCTTCAGCTAATGGCCCATAACAAAGTGGTGAGTTCACCGACAAGTTTCCCTTCTGAGATGGAATCTTAAAGTGTCCACACCACTCCTAATCCTCACACTCCCTGTTTTCACAGATCTCAGTTGTAAGGTTATATAAATGGATCAGGGATTTGTTACCTTATAAGCTGGATGTTCTGCTTGCATAAGCGTTTTGATTAAAAACAAAATAAATAGTTCAAGAGATCTATTGTACACCATGGTGACTACAGTTAATAACAATATATTCTATACTTGAAAATTGCTATGAAGAGATTTCAAATGTTCTCACCACAAAAAATAAGTATGTAAGGCAATGCACATGTTAAACAGCTTGATTTAGCCATTCCACAATGTATATGTATCTCAAAACTTTTATATTGATATATAAATATAAAAAAGCAAACAAGTACAGTTATTAATATTAAAAACAATTTGTATTTTTTCTGCCTAACGTCAAATGTATATTGTATGAAATTTCTACCTTGAAGGGTTGTTTGCTGCTATAATGTCAGAGGGTTAGGAGTGAGATTCATATTATTTGAGGATTTCAAAGCAATTTGGAAAAACCTTAGCCAATTAGGTCATCTGTTTGTGGTGGTTTAAGAGTAGACTGACTACAGGTGTTCATTCCACTCCGGGCTCAAAGCCTGAAAGGAGCCTTACCTTTTCGAGTTGCCTTATAAGGACCTATGCTCCCAATCTTCAAATCCAGTACTATTGAATGTAGATGGCTTACCAAGAGAGGGGCTGTTCCAGAGCTCATTGGAAAATGTCTGGGGTATGGCTAGCCTAAGCCCACTTCATTGAACCAGTGTGGAGTATTCATCCTGGAGTCAAGGCTGGAGGATATATGGAAGGAATTTACAAGGGAGTCCTTTGGTTCTGACTGCGTATTGGAGGAGGACTCTCAGCTGGGAAAGCTGCAACCAGTGTCTTGATTATGGGGACACCATCAGTAGAGTTCTTGTTTGTTAGGAGCAGGGGACCTGGAGGGACACCATAATGATGATTCCAGTGTGCCCTGAAACCCAACACTACACTGCCCACAAAAGGCATTCAGGAAATGTTTTTTTAATTGATTGAATAATAGTCTAAGAAGTATTTTCTTTTGGTTCTTAATTAGAAAGGGGATTGTATATTTCCTTTAGTGAAGCACTTTGTTCTTTAGAGATGCAAATGATACAGGCATTCTATGTGTAGAGAGATGTCTTAGTTCAATTTAAAGGAAGTTTATGTGACAATCATAGCATTTGAATAGTTCTGACTGTTATGGAAAATAATTACATTTATTGGATCACAGATTCTAGGACTAATGAAGAATTTGGAGATCAAACATTCTATTCTGTTATTTCACAGACAACAAAACTGAGGCCTTAAACTTAAGCTAGAGATTAAAAATGTTACTTCTATCATTAGTTTTTTTGATACCAAGAAATACCTCTCCTCCAAATCACTCTCCATATTTAAATGTTACAAATGAATTTGTTGTACATGAATTTTATGCAAATGATATTACAAAAGAATTTGAATGAAATTCATTCTGAAAATTTTGTTAAACCATATATAAGCCAGTCTGGTAAAAATCTCCCTGGAATATTTAAAATCCAGCTGTAGGAATTTCTGATGAGGGACTTCGCCTCTACTGTCTTTGAACTGTCGTAAGCACGGCTACCTTGTCCCACGGAGAATAAAGCCTCGGAAGCAGATCTGCAGTAAATTAAACAGTTATTGCTGATGAAGACACTGTGTAGAAAGGATCAAGATTGAGAAAGGATCAAAATATTACTGGGAAACATTGATGTGAAAATTACCCTATTCTAATATAAATCCCCTTACCTTGCAAAAGATATCCAGAAAACCAAGGAAAATAGTCTGTAATTGTCTGACTTTGTATCTGGTGCTTTCTCCAAGACACGTTAGTTTAGTTTCAAATAATATTATTTTAAATCATTACATGGTGTATAAAAGTAATTCAAGCATTTGTTATCTCCTCTCCCTGGGTACCCTCCTCTCAAAACAGACTAGCGTGATACACAACTCTTACATCCAAAGAGCTCCATAGTTAGAAATGAAGGAAACAGAAGCCATGTATTCCCTGGTGTGAGTCAGTGCAGTGCAGATTAGTGAGATTAATGCCTGAATTCCATTGGCAGCCCTGAGTTGAATGAGGGAGGCATGACAATTACCAAGCCTCTGGAGCTTTTTAAAAATCTTTTTCTGGCTTGAAGTTTCAGAGGTGAATGAACACCACTGCCAGTGGTCTCCTATGGTCATTACGCAGAAAGACCTCGTGGGCACAGGACATCATAGGTCTTCTGCGGCTGCAGACTAGTTTGCAAGGTTTCCATATCACTGGGAATGGAATTAACTTTCATGTTTGTTGTTTCAGATGGTAGAAATGGTGTGTCTCCATGTGATTAGTTTAATGGAGGCATTGCAGGAATGCAATTCGACCATTTTTGTCAAGGTAGGAAAACCTTATGATTCTTATAGACCATTTCTTACTGCTAAAAACAAATGTGGATTTATGTTGAAGGTACTTTCTGAAGAGAATTAGTTTTAACATTCAGAGTTGGGGCTGGAGAATTCAGGCTCCTATAACAACCCTTTACCAAATGGTTATTGCATGAATTTTGCTCTTGGTCTACCACTGTGACCAACTTCAGCTGGGTTAAATATATCAGACTAGGCCAGGCATGGTGGCTCATGCCCATAGTCCCAGCATTTTGGGAGGCTGAGGCAGGAGGATTGCTTGAGCCTAGAAGTTTGAGACCAGCCTGGGCAATATGGTGAGACCTTGTCTCTACCAAAA